AAACTACTGAGTTCAGAAGCCGCAACACGTTCTTGTGCATTCCGCTTTTTTCAGTAGCAAATGAATCAAAAGCTCCACTGCCAGCAGCTGCGTGAATGTGGAGGCACATTTCGAACTACATCGTGCTCACTGAAACAGATAGGCCAGCAGCGCTTCTCGGGGTTCTGGCATCGCCAGCTGGAAGCTGCTATCAGGGGGATAGAGTGGCTGGGAGCCTCACAGCTAGGAGCGAAGCTGCAGCGGTTGCGAGAGGACGCAGCTATCAGGGGGCCAGATTGGCTGGAAGGAGCTCTGGCAGAGGCAGAGATCCTCCCAGCCACTCTGGCCCCCTGATAGCCGCTTCCTCTCGCAACCGCTGCAGCTTCGCTCCCAGCTGTGAAGCCGCTGCCTCCAGAGTGCTTGAGAGGCTATGTTCTACAAGTTTTGGTGCGAGACAATCATTCAAACAGTTTGGATGATTCTCGGACAGTTCCGGTTGAATCCCCCTCCCAGACTCCGCTCAAAACAATCTGTTTTGGATGATTCTCGGACAGTTCCAGTTGAATCTTCCTCCCAGACTCCGCTCACTACGGCGCCATTGCAGCGCCATCACGGCTGACAACATACAGCAACGTCCCGTCGGGCGCAAACTTCTCCGCCTCTAAGTTGCTGTAGAAGCGAAACCAGCCATCGCCAAGTCCTTCCAAATTGCCGTTGACCTCAAGTAATGCCACGCACAAATAATATATATATATATGTTCAGGCATATAAAACGAACAACACACACAGACCTATATATATATACATCTCAAATATTCATATATACTCATGTTATAGAACTTACAAAAGAAAGCAGTAGTCTCATAGTGTAACAGGCTGCTGTGTAATATGCAATGCCTTCCGTGGTGAAAGTCACCGTGTGGGCACGCACGGATCCCACATCCACAGCCTGCACCTCTGACTCCACGCAACGCCGGATTGCCTGGACCAAGACGGCAAGAGAGCAAAAGGGCAGGACAGTAAGAAGGAAAGAGAGAAGATCTGAAGATAAGATGATGCGAAGATGAGAAGATGTGCATATATGAGGATGTGAAGAGATGAGGAGGTGAGGATGTGAAGCTGTGAGGATGTGAGGATGTGAAGATGATCAGATGTGAAGAGGAGCAGATGTCAAGATGTAAGATGTGAGGGTGTGAAGATGTCAGGATGTCAAGATGCAAAGCTGAGAAGCTGTGAAGATGATAGAAGATGATAGAAGATGAGAAGATAAGCACATGTGAAGAAGTAAAGATGGCTGACAGATTCCCACTATTTGAAAAACACTTCGCTCAAACGCTTTCAGGATCAAAAAAAGATTCTAATTCTGTCAGCTTCAAACTCTATTCCTATAAACAGCCTCTGCCACTGTTGGCTTCAAACCCCAGCGCTGCTTGTAGCTCGGCTGGACAGGAAGATTCTGCTGGAACAACCGATCTGCGGCCGCAGCTGTGAGCCCAACGTAGGTTGTCAAAGTAGTGCCCGCCATGCGTCCCGGGGCAGCAACAACAAAAGGAAAACACGTTGGAGCCAAACTGGGCATGTCCAGAACTTGTTGCAGACATGCTTGTGTCCAAATTGCTAAAAAGGCAACCTCAAGCTGCTTTCACATCTTCTTCCGATGCACATGCCTGGCAAATCAACAGTTCGGTCCGTCACACAATGAAATAATGTTGTTCCATTCCAGAACCTGGCATCCAATGAAGAGCGGCTAGGTGCACATACAACCAGAGACCACATGGAACTCTGAATTTAGAATTTGAAACGCATTCTTGCACTCACAGACTTGTTTCGATGATACACAAGGTAGATGAGATAATCATGAAATAAAATGATATTGATATAGATATAAAATGTAACAAAGCAAAAGGTCGGTCCTCCACAAAATGGGATCATGTTGTTCCAGTCCACAACCTGGCATCGAATGAATTTCAAATGGAACAGATTGATTTAACAGATGCTGCATGTCTGACTGTTCCATTCAAATCCAAATACCAGCGTTTGCAAATGTCAAGTCGAATCAGAGTCAATGCAAAACAACCGATTCCAAAACCCAATGGCAAAACAATGAAGTCCGACACAGACCTATCAAGTTTCGATGTGGTTACAATGTTCTTCCACTCGTTCTGTCCTCCACAAAAAGAGATAATGTTGTTCCACTGCACAACCTCGCATCAAATGAAAGTCAAATGGAACACATTGATTTCACACCGGCTTTGTGGACATGCCATGACTGATATTCATGCTATGTGGAAAGAATCATCATCCATCATCTACAATCCATCATCATCCATCATCATCACCATCATAATCATCATCATCTTCATCATCATCATCATGCTCACCATCATCATCGTTCTTCATCTTCATCATCATCATCATCACCATCATCATCATCATCATCATCTTCATCCTCATCATCATCATCATCATCGCGTTGGCTCAGCCGGCGTGGCGGTTGGGAGCTTCAGATTGGGCTTCTTGTAGCCACCACTGTCGCTCCGTACCTCAGTGTGAAAGGAATCCAGGAAAGCTGGACGCAACGCATCGCACAGCACACAGCACAAACAGATGTGATCTGGACATACCTGGCATCGTCATCCACAACGTCTACCAGGACTTCCTCCAGTATCCATTCCTGGCGAACTCTTGTCACCAGCAAACCCACAAAAAAAAAGTGTCAAGGTCGATTTGGGAAACTGCTGCTCCCCTCCCTATTTCAGAAAGCGCTGACCTCATATGGATCGATGTCACTCAATCTGAATCTGTCTTTTTTTTGGCCGGCGCCCTTTGCCTTTCGGCGGGTCACCACTTGAGGCTTACTCGCGGACCAGCGGGGAATCGAACCACCACCGGCAGTCTGTCCGCGTCAAGAACGACGCCCACCAACTGAGCCACGAGGACACCTCACTCTCTGAATCTGTCAATGAATCTGTCAATGAATGAATGATGATGAATGCCTTTCAAAATTTTCAAAGTCACACTGCATTCCGGATTTCGATGTCACATCTCCAAGGCTCGCATGACTCGGGCTTTCGGGTGGATCTGAAATACCGTCCCATAGACCTTCGTCACCGGCGGGTGACTTGAAGATATAGATAACACAGCTTAGATCAGAAAAGTTTTTAGGAATGAGGGATGAAATATTGAACACGTTTTGGAGTTTGGTTTTCCTTGGGTTTCGTTTGGGTTTCTCCTTGAACAATTGTCAAGCAGGCAAGACTTCTTCCACTATTTCAATTAGCATTATTATTATTCTAAAAGCGTATGCCAATGCATTTTACACGCATGAAATTCATCAACATCATCATCATCTTCATCATCATCATCGTCCAGATCCATCAATACACAACCCAAATGTTTGTGAGATTTTTTCCGTCCGACGCCTTCGTGGCTTCCGCCAGGTCGTTCAACCTGTTCTCCATCACTTGAGCCCAGTCAAAACTTCCAAGAAACGGAAAACGCGAACGCGACCTACGCAACAAAACCTAAATGGGGGAAAGCCCTAAATAACCAAACCCTAAACCAACACCAGCTAAACTAAAACATCCACCAACAGAAGCTACATGACATGCGAATTGCTGTTGCTCAGTGAAATTGAAATGCGGTGAATCGGTCAGCCACCCTTTTTTGTCGCGTGGATTTGGAACTGAATCCCTGAACTGATCCTTCAGGCTGGTGGTGATATTCACCTGCATATATGCCTTGACCTCATGTCAGGCTCTGAGTAAACTTTGCGCCCCCTCAAGTCAAATCTTTAGAGGAGGAAATAAGAGCTCGATGAATGAGAACCAGCGAGCGGTGGCACCACGAAATCAGTGAGTCCAAGTGGGTCCGTGCCAGGGCCACAAGAGCAGGGTGATAGAAAGACCCTGTTTCTTCAAAATAGTCTTCTCGTTCATCCAGGTAATGTCGAAGTGTCCAAGCCTTCTGATGTAAAAGGATCAGAGTGGCATAAAGGTGGAGCATCTGAAATAATGGTGTCATTGTCAAAGGAAAGGAGCCACCAGAAACAACTCGCACTGCCCGCAATGAAAGAGAGGGCAGAAGCAATGAGGATATGAAATACTGAGCGACGATGCAGCTGTCGTCGGCAAAGGTCAGAATAAACAATGAAGCCCCGTGGACTCGTAGAGAGCATATAAATCACCTCAATTCCCAGGGTTTTGGGAGGGCGGGTGTTCAAAAATTTCTTTAGCCCTTGAACCTTCAAGCAACACGTAACAAATTGAAGTGATCAGCACAACTCTTTGAATGACATCAGACTGAATCTCTCTCAGTGTTTTTTTTTAATAATGGGAAATCAAAAGGTAAACAGAAACCGAGAAATGTGTGAACATGTTTGAGGCTGAAGCAACTAACTGAAACGGTTCACACTCGCACAAGTGTTCTCCTCCGGTTTTTTTTTTCAAACGCTGAACCTGGAAGCTCAACCTATTACACCTTTAAACTCAAACCCAGAAGGAAGCAACGCGGAGGAGCGGACACGCCAGCAGGAGGCAGCGAGCAGAGCAGAGGGAGCAAGCAGGAATCTAGAGACCGAGGGGGAGATCCCCACCCAAGCCCCCCCAGAGGGCCAAGCGACTTCAAACAGTCCCCACGGTGAACCGTGAAGGCCTGTTCTCCATCCATCACTTGAGCCCAGTCAAAACTTCCAAGAAACGGAAAACGCGAACGCGACCTACGCAACAAAACCTAAATGGGGGAAAGCCCTAAATAACCAAACCCTAAACCAACACCAGCTAAACTAAAACATCCACCAACAGAAGCTACATGACATGCGAATTGCTGTTGCTCAGTGAAATTGAAATGCGGTGAATCGGTCAGCCACCCTTTTTTGTCGCGTGGATTTGGAACTGAATCCCTGAACTGATCCTTCAGGCTGGTGGTGATATTCACCTGCATATATGCCTTGACCTCATGTCAGGCTCTGAGTAAACTTTGCGCCCCCCCCGTAGCGAGGGGCCTGACACTGAAACTGACTCTCACCACTGAGTTTTCTCAAACTTCGCACTTGCAACCTGTTTTGCAAACTTCCTCAAAGTGTCCTTGTCCATGAACTCATGTCTCGCTTCCCACAACTCCCGCAGCAGGCTAAAATCGAAATCTTCCCACTTGCATTCCAAACGCAGTCTCATTTCCACCTGGCTGAAGTCTTCATTGGTAAGTTTGTCGGCTAAATCGTTTTCCGCACGGGGTCGCCATCGCAGCTCCAGCCGCATCCCCCAACGCATGAGCATGTGAGTCAACTGCATGTTGATCAAAGCCAGTGGAAACTTAGTAGAACTTCCCTTCTGGAGAAGGGCCTCATTTGACTGGTTGTCCGTGCCTGCTGCCAAGTAAACCGGAACGGTCATTCTTTCTCTCCCTTCTCCATAGTTGAACAAAACCAGTGCCACGGTGGTGGCCAGCAACTCCGCTGGCGCTGAAGCCCAGCTGCTCTCTCCATCAGGTTTGAACAGGTATGGCGCCTGTTCGGGATCCAAACGGAGCGAAAACCAGCGGCCAGTAGCAAGGTGGTGCCCACCCAAAACGACAAACCCTTGAGCACATTTTGCGTCTGTCCTAAACTGTTCTCCCAGTAGGCGGATGGGCCTATGGCATGAATACATAAAACTGCAGTCTGCAAGTTGCCTGGAAATGAATTTGAGAACCAGGACCACCATGCGTGGTGCCGTAGCGACCGTTCCTTTGGCCAGAGCGGCGGCCCAGCTATACAAGGGTGCCAGGTGTGCCTTCAGCCAGACCAGGACTCGGGCGAGGAAAGCGAGTCTCCCAAGGAATTCCCCAAAGCGGCGCATGTGCACTGTGTAGCGCGCTTCTTCCATCTCCTTTATGAAATTCAGCAACCAGAGGCCTCGCTTGGCCGTCACCCCCATCTTGCAACGTCCATAGTCCAGCTGAAACCCCACAAACGTTACTTCTATCCCTCCTGCGAACTTCGCGTACTGGAAAGGGGTGCCCAACGCCTCATAGGCTGCCAGCATCATCCACAAGGTCAGGAACTTGCGTTCCCCGAAAACCACAACATGCAAATCATCTACGTAGATGAGTTGGTAGTTGCATTCAGTCCCCATAGCATTGCCCACCAGCCTTCCAACTGTTCCCATGAGCCGCGTCCACCAATAGGAGGCGCTTGATACGCCAAAGGTTCCCACCTTGTTGACCCAGATGGTGTCTGATGTCGATGAAGCTTTGCAACAAATGAGCGGGTGATCCCTGCTCCGCAATTTCACCAGCCGGTGTGCCGACTTGATATCAGCTGAGATAGAGAACCTAGCTTCCTTGGTCTCGGTCACCTCCCGAATGACACCAGCCGCGTCTTCCGGCCCAGGGTATTGCAATTGGTCTCTGAAAACTATCCTGTTGTTGAGCTGAACATGGTGGGTGGCATCGTGTATGGGACGAATGTCACCGTTGGGTTTCTGTATGGCCCCCATAGAAGCCACCAAAACTTCCCGGTCAGGGTGTTTGGCTTTCAAGGCCGCCAGCGTGGTCGGGTACATCCTCCCCAGCCTTTCTTCTTCTCTAAATTTGTTCTCCAACTCCTCTGCTACCAGCTCCGCCGACTTATAATTTTCTGAAAAGGGGATGTAGTCCGAATCGTCCAGCTTGCGTTGTTTCTCCTTAGGCGGAAACACAGCAGGAACCCTAGGCAACGGTTCATCTAGTCCAACTGGCGCGCCCGTTGCAAACGACTCTTCGTCTTGTACTAGCACCCGGTAGTCCGGGTCCTCCATAACTTCTAACGTTTGCGCCAACAGGTGCAGGAAGAAAGGTTGGCCCTCCGTGAGCTCCATGGCGCTAGCGGGGGATGGCAAAAGTTGGGCCCACCTCTCCCTAAGTTGCTGCAACGCACTTTCTGAAAACGGTGAACTCTGGAGCCTCCCCAACGCCAAGTGAAAGGCTTCCTTTCTTAGGTCGCCAATCTGTGACATCACAAACTCCTGCAGGAGCTCTTTCAACTTTCGTCCCATCTGCTGTGCCTCCATGCCAAGGTATGTACCTCTATCCTCTGGGCGCCAGCGATTTGCAGAGCAAAGACCAAATCCATCAACAAATGGTTTGGCTCGTCCACCCCATTCCACCACTAATGGCTTTCCTCTATTGCGAGCCTCTTCCGGCCCTTCTCGGGTTCTCTGCTCATCTTCCCCAACTTCAGGTCGCTGGGTGTCGGTGTCTGAATCGCCTGGTTGGTCCAGGCTATCTGTAGCGACTGTAAGTGTTGGTCCAGCCGCAACTGTCGTGGTCGTCGTTGTTGGCTTAGCCTCTGTAAGGGGTCCAGTCGGTAGGCCGAGTGAAGAGGCACTTGCGCTCCCCACCCGACTGGCGATGAGCTCGGCCAGGTATTTGCAAAGCGCCGGAGGGTAAGCAGCGGAACCCTCAGTGGCCCACTTCCCGTTGGGCAGTTGGCCCAAAAGGCGCTTGGCATGTGTGGAGTGCCCACAATACGTAGGCAAGGGGCCCAAGTATTGTCGCTCCTTGTCGAAAACTGGCCAAGTGGCATAGGGTAGCTCTTGGCAAGGCTTGAGGGTGGAAAGAAACCTGGTTGGCTTAGGCGATGGTGCGTCAAAATGACACTGGAAAACTGCCCAAGTCGTGGCCTTTGTGGCCTGCTGTAGTTGTTGCATAGTTTCCCACTGCCAGACACTAGCGGGCCATTCACCATGGCATGCCCCTAAGTCTTCGGGATGCTCGATCAGAAAGTCTGCATTGCATTGGAAACATTTGTGTGCAGTGGCGATGGTCTGGTCCACCAAGTAGTTGTGATCTTGTGCCAGCTGTAGATTTGAACCTGTAAGCCAAGGAAATCCTCGAGGCCAGTGAAAATTGCGTAGTGGCCGTGGGCCAGGCGAGGTTTTCCAGTTGAAACGGACCCTGCTAAAGGTGTTGCAAGGTGGTGACATAACCACCACGTCCCATAATCCAGCTTCTAATTCCTGAAAAATTTTGTCCCAAAGTTGACTGTTTAACAGATCATCTGAGGCCTGTCGTTCCACATCGACCTCCGTAACATGCAAAGAAAATTCGTGCTCCAAGCCAAACTCCTGGAGGTAGTGCTTGACGTCTGCCTTGCGAGGCTTCCCACAAAACAAGTACAGCACCCGCAATGTGGGTTTGCAAGTGGGTGCTGTTGCAGGCTGTCACTCTGTTTTGTTATTGCCCTTTGGAAGATCTTTGCAACGATCGTGTTCCCGGGCGGCGTGTTCACCATAACAGCCTTTGATACGACAGATGTGCAGTCTGCCGCACCGTCCTGGACAGCCTTGGCTGTTAAAGGCAAAGCATATTTCCCGTCCGTCTGGGGAGTGGGTGACAAGGTGGTGGTCCCCGTGTTTTCCTTTCGATTTACCTGAAGCTTTTCCTTTTCCCTTGTCAAATTTGCCTCGTACTTTGCCAAAACCCTTTGACTTGCCCTTCTTGCCATCATAGGTGTTGTTGAAGGTACGTTGACCGCCATGCCGAGCTGTGTCATGGTTGGTCAGAGCCAAAGGAGTTGTAAAGTATGACTCTTTGAGTTCGGCGTCTTTTGTCACGGCCTCCAAGGCCTCTGCCAGTGTCTTCTCCCCTTTGTTGACCAGTTTGGAGGCTTCCCGTCGCAGGCGGTGCTCAAATTGCAGCACCAGGGCAAAAGGGGGACGCAGAGGCTGCTGCTGTCCATCAACAGGCACTTTAATGCCATGGACCTTCTCTCCCAGCACGAACTCCACAAAGCGATTGAAGTCCTCCATTTTCAAACCTGCCAAGAAGTGTTTTGACTTGAACTTCGATGACATACACAGCCATGTTGTGGCCTCCAACTTCATCAACCTGCGGTATTCTTCTGTGTTTTCCGGAAGCCGGCCTTTGGATTTTGTCTTGGTGATCCTCACATGGCCTGTGCTGTCCAGTGAAGTCTGCAAGGCTGATGTGTTGCGGTCCGCCTTTGAAGACACTTCATCCAAGCTTGCTGCTGTACACTCTCCATTCTCGCATTCCTCAACCTTCAAAGCAAGGTACTCTGCACTGGGTGTCTCGTGGTCGGATAGGTGGCCCAAAACCTTTTCGACCGCTTTGAGCATTGCCAATCTTTCGCTGTGTTGAAGGTGACGGGGGACCCCAAGAACTTTGCTCTCGGCTTGGATCTCTTTCTCTTTGGTGTAAAGCTCTTTCCCTGCATTCCAGGCTGCAACCACTTGTGCTACTTGCGCCCGCAATGCTGGGTCTCTGGCTGGGTCCAAGTTGAAGTCGGCTTGGACTGCCGTTCGAACGTCTGCAGAGCTTTCTCCTAAGGCTGTGAAGACCCTCAGTGACTTGTAGTGCTGGGCCATCTCATACTGAAGCGTTAATGGGATTTCTGCATCATCCCATACATACTGCAGATCTGAGGTGACGTTACTTCGCAGGTATTCCCTGCGATCATCATCCGTCACTGCCATCGCTGAGTCTGAAGCTAAAGCTGAACTGTTCTATGTTGTTTCCTGTCTTGGAAACTCCCATAAGTGAAGAGGAGGAAGGAAAGTGCCGAGGACGCGGGACAAACCAAATAAACACTACACATACCAGTAACATGTCACAAGCTTGACGTTCTGAAACCATTTCGAAACTCTGAGCCTCATCGACGAAAATAAATAAACTTGAATCTCAAATCAATTCTCCAAACTGTTCTTTCTCTGCGTCTTTGGACCACCATGACTGAAACCTTTCTTTGCGCTTTGATCTTAAACGTTTGAAGAGGAGATGGGGAGAATGCCGAGGACGCAGGACAAATAAATTGCAAATAAACCCCATGTATTTTTCCCTGAAACGTCGACGATCTGGTGACCGCTTTGCCAACTGCAGTTGCGCTTGTTTAGCGCCAGTGCCCTATTGCCACTATTCTGTGACTGCGGCCGACATGAAACTTAAACGGCAAGTGCAAAACATCCTAAACCTTCTGTCTCAGACAGTCCATTTTGCCATTGCAAACGCGGTGACAACAAAGGTGAAAACGGAGGTGAAAACCAAACTGACATGAACTGCCAAATGTCCTAAATCAAAGGCTGCCACTCTGATGCCTCTCCAGCCTCGGCCTCTTCAGCTTCGGCCTCGTCTCCGGAAGTGTTCGTAGAGGACGAATCACCTGAATCGCTTGAAACATCATGGTCAGCTGTCATACGACCCAACTCTTCTGAAATCTTACGTTGACAAATCTTGCAAATAGCATCATATGCTGCATCTTGAACATTGTCAACATCGGTGCTGTCGATGCATCTGTCTGAGCGCACCGGACATTTGCCATGCATGTGTAGTCTTCTGAAACCCGTCCTCCTCGACGTCGTGATGAAATAGCCCGAATGAGTTGAGTTCTCACCTGCCTCTCGTTGCACTGCCTCCATGACCTGTTGTGTCTCATGGACGTCTACCTGTTCGACATCTGAATCAAATGTGTTGAAAACTTCACCAGCATTGGCCCTCTTGTAGTCATGAGTGTGACGTCTCCTGACCCTCTGCCCTACCAACTCATGTTTGTCTGCAAAATGCATGACATCCTCCAACAACTCTGACTCATCCAACGCTGGGGCTCCCAACACAATTGAGTCCCTGACCAGGTGTTGAACCTCTTCCACCACTTGACGTGATGTATGCAAGTACGCATTACTTCCAGTTCTTCCTATTGACCATCTTCCAAGGAAGTCCCGCTTAGTCTTGTCCACTCCTAACGATGCCGCCGCCTGTGTCAGAAAATGACGTGGGCTATGGCCTGACCAGAAAAGCAACATAGCCCCTGGCACCAAGTCCATTGCCTTGTTCTGTCGCCAGAACCCATCTTGGAAACGTGGCGTTCCCAATTTTCCCAAGACGATCCTGAAATAGTTTGCCATTGAAGGTGGTTCCAAAATCTTGTTCTTAAATACGGTCCAGTCTTTACCCGGTGTTGGGATAAAATAGTCCCTGGGAAACATGAGATCCTCACGTTGCAACATCTGGAAGCCTTCGATAAGCCAGTCATATCCAGAAATCGAAATGTCTCTGGCCACAAACGCACAAATAGGCCCATGCAACTTGGCACCTCCAGTAGTCTTCGTCCTGGCCATCCTGAGTGTCAAGCCACGGTTGCTAAGCCTGACAGATTCCGGCATAACATTCTGTAAATCGTCAACTCTCATTGCAGCCCAAGTTGAAACCAACATACACCATGCAATTAGCCGCAGACAGAACTCATGGTCCATCTCAATGACAAACAGCTCAAGTGCCAACAAAATCGCTGTTGTGTAAGGCTTTGCAGCCTTTGGGAACGTGTTCGTTGCCAGTTCCTGTTTCCAGCTTTCAACATGTGCCTTCCACAAGGGATCCCGCGACAGCTGTTTACCTTCCGGTATCCGTCCAGCCTGTTCTAACACAACCAGTGCCGCCTGGAATTCTGAAATAAAACTGAATGTCACTCCATTTTGAATGTGCTCCTCAACGTAGTGTATCAAGACATCCAAACCACCTGGCCAAGTCTTACCTGAATATGCTACTAGCCATGTGCGAAAGCGGTTCCATGACCTGTATCTGTTTCTCAAGGTCTTTGACCGCCTCGCTCCAAACAGTCGTAGCCAAGCCTTGTTCGGATCCTGAAGTGCCTCGATCTGGAGACTCACCGGCAGAACGGCTTCCTGTAAAATACCTGCCAACTCCAATGCATATCTGTCTCTCTCATGCTGTTCCTTGGCCGCTCTCGTCTCCGGTCCTTCCCCAGTTGAAGACCTACGCTGGGTACGTTTCACAGTGTCCAGCATGAAACGTGGATCTTCCTTCATGATCTGCTCAAAAGTTTCCTGTATGGTGCCTACTGTATCCCGTTTGGGATGTGCACAGAACTCGAAACTCAACTCTCTGTCAAGGATACGCTGCCTCTTGACCTGTGGTCCATACTTAGTATGCCATGCGGTCAGTCCCTCAACGCTCACCTGTCCAAAGTCAGCCCACTCCGTCTCTGTCAAAATACCTTGTAAAAGGTCTTGGGCTCCAGCCGCATCATCAAATGAATACCACAGGTATTTCAACTCACCAAAGATTTCCTTCAGCCTTTGCCTAAAGCTCTGTTTAACTGGAACATCATTCCAATCCATGCCATACGTCGAAGATTGCAGCGCGTCCCTGACTGTTCAAAAATTTCTTTAGCCCTTGAACCTTCAAGCAACACGTAACAAATTGAAGTGATCAGCACAACTCTTTGAATGACATCAGACTGAATCTCTCTCAGTGTTTTTTTTAATAATGGGAAATCAAAAGGTAAACAGAAACCGAGAAATGTGTGAACATGTTTGAGGCTGAAGCAACTAACTGAAACGGTTCACACTCGCACAAGTGTTCTCCTCCGGTTTTTTTTTTCAAACGCTGAACCTGGAAGCTCAACCTATTACACCTTTAAACTCAAACCCAGAAGGAAGCAACGCGGAGGAGAGGACACGCCAGCAGGAGGCAGCGAGCAGAGCAGAGGGAGCAAGCAGGAATCTAGAGACCGAGGGGGAGATCCCCACCCAAGCCCCCCCAGAGGGCCAAGCGACTTCAAACAGTCCCCACGGTGAACCGTGAAGGCATGTTCAAGAGCATGTTGCAGTTGGAATTAATTGATTAATTAAGTTTCGCAATGGCCGTTGCTGTAGTGGCCGCAAAAGTAAACTGGTGGAGGACCGATACATAGTCCTATGCACTGTCACGCTCATCCAGGAAACAAAACAAAACACCAAAAAACAAAGAAACAAAAACCAAACAAAAAACACCAAACACAAAAACAACACAAACACACAAAACCAGAAACAAACAACCAAAAACAACACACACCAATGAGCAGCGACGTGACAAGTACCAGTTTATGGGTGAAAAAGATCGATTCAAGAGGTGATAGCTTAGTATCATCTCGGTGCATGCATAATGACATCTTGTGTGCCATGATGACGCTGGCCCTCAACAAGAAACACAAAACAAGAAACGCCACAAAAACACCAGGGGCCAATTCAGAGGGTGTGGGAAGCAACACAGCTCAATGCAGGGATCCCGCCAGCCAGGATCCCCGAGATCACAAAGAGCAGCCTTCACGGCATGACCTTCAAACCCAAATCTTTGTGAGAACTGCAAATCTCACCTTTGATTCTGATAACATCAGAGTAAACTGTTTTTCCCCGAAAAAGAAAGGGTTCCAAACCAATGAAAACTGCCAGCGACTGCAAATCAAGCGGACAACAACAATGGCTGCCTTTTTTCTTCGATGCCAAAATGCTCAGACAGCTCTGTGCAATCAAGTGGCTTGAACTGGGAAGAGGTTGCCTCTACCTTGCCTCGGAACAGGGCTAAGCGATGAAGATTGGAAAGCGCTTGGAGGTGGATTGGTGGTTCACTGTTCTCTGGGCCGACACTGAAGTTCTGGCGTGGACATCTCAGCGAATGGTTAGAAGATGTGCACTCGGCACTACAATAGTACTATACCGGCCCGCTGAGGAGCAGGAGCTTCTCACTGTTAGGAGATCGGCCGCAACAGAGGAAAACAAAAAACGCGCTTCCAGTTGCCCTCCTGGCTCCGTTGGTATGGCGGTGCTCTTGTGGCGCTGACAGACTGCCGGTGGTTCTTAGGTGTCCCCGTGGGTCAGTTGGTGGGGCGTCGTTCTTGGCGACGCGGATGGACTGCCGGTGGTGGTTCGATTCCCCGCTGGTCCACGGGTAAGCCTCAGTGGTGACCCGCCGAAAGGCAACGGGCGCCGGCCAAAAAAAGACAGACTGCCGGTGGTTCAATTCCCCGGGTCCGCGAGCAAGACTCAAGACCGTAGACCTGCCAAAGGCAACGCTCGGAAAAAATGAGCTATCTGCACTTTGATCTTTGTTTCAGCAAGGTAGTCTGCGATAATATTTGCCTCTGGTGGACGATAGATCCAAATACTAATTTTTTTCCGTCCAACGCCGTATGGCTTCCGCCAGGTCGTTCAACATGTTTCCAAGCATGTTGCATTGAGACTAATTAATTAATTCGCGCAGGGGCCGAAGCTGTAGTGGCCGCAAAAGTAAACTGGTAGAGGACCGATACATAGTCCTATTCCCTTGTCACGTTCCAGAGAACAAGAACCGAAACACAAAGAAACAAAAGCAAAAACAACACCAAAAACAAAACCAAACAAAAACAAACCACACAAAAAACAAAAAACCACACAACCACAAAGCAGTGACGTGACAGGTTCCAGTTATGGGTGAAAAAGATCTGTTGAGGCAAGAGGTGATAGCTTAGTATCATCTCGGCGCATGCAGATGACAACTTTTGTGTCATATTCGCAGGCCCAAAAAACAAAAACAACAACAGGAAAACCACAAAACCACCATGGGCCACAGCAGGGTGTAGGAAGCAACAAAGCTCAATGCGGAAACCAGGGATCCCCCCAGCCAGGATCCCCGAGATCACAAAGAGCAGCCATCACGGCATGACATTCACGATAGATCCAAATACCGGTGGGAGACCAAGAGCGCAACAAAAGCAGTTACTCCCACACGAAATTTGATATCCACCCGAGAGAAAGAAGGCAAATGCTGAACAAGTGTCAGTTAATTTTAGCCACCGGGGGAACGGTAGCCCAGGACCTTACCATGCAATGGTCCACAATGGGTGGTTTTATGCAAGAGCTCTCCCTCCTGGTCATTGATGAAGGCCAGCAGTATGGCACTGACCGCGAAATTGCAGTTATCAGCCTGCTGAGACAGCAACCCCTGGTCTTGTGGACAGGAGACTCTGAGCAGACACCTGGCGGCATTGATCGGGCAGCTCGCAACGCAAAACGGTCACGACAACTACTGCTAGCCAAAAAGCATGGACTGCGAAGCGACCGCAATTATTACATGCCAGCCAACCTTGCCGACGCAATGATCCGACTGCTGGACGGTTCGGCAAATGAAGGTTTAGCGACTCTTAGTCAAATCCTCAAACGAGGACAGTCCACGTTAGGTCAGCTATGGACAAGTCACCTCTCGCCGCAGGATGAGGAAGACCTCAGGGCAGCCAGCACTGTGCTTCCAGGCCTCAAAGCCCTATTTGAAGCAGCCCAGCCAAATATGCAACGACACTCCCGATTTGTAGACTCAGAACTGCTGGCAGGTACCGCTCTTAATTTTCCACGGTCTCTCGTGCGCCTTGCCTGGATTTTGCAGCATGCCGCTACCCTCCTGCCCATGGCTGGTGACATACAAGCAGTCTTAAACTCCCAGACCGCCGGTGTGAGTGACATCCATGCTTGGGGGTTGATGCTTCCCTCCAGCTCCAGGGTTAGTCCTGTGACATACCATGCAGTGGTTGCAGTGAGATATCGCGATCTTTGCAAGCAGATCAATGGCCTATGGGAACTGGGAAGTTTTGCCTCGGGAGGACTTCCCGACAAGCCACCAGGGTTCCAATTAGTGCTTTGGGATACGAATGCTAGGATTAACGGGTTGGTAGCGACAGATTTAGAGACTCTTGTGTCAGAGGTACTCACCCGGGGTCACCCCCTTCCCTCACAATGCTGGATTTGCAGATGGACTTTTTATAATGACCACAGCAACTGATCACAAGAACAATTTGAATCGCTCCGTGCTCAAAAGGGATTATGTTCGCACCCTGCGTGTCGAAACAATAGCCAATTCAGCAGGAGGAACAGCACAGGTATCAATCGTAGCTCAGCCCAGTATTGGATTTCTCAACACCAAATACTACTCCAATGGCTCTCCTACAGAAGATACTGAAGACTGCCTTGGCAGAATCACTGTGGGGCTCACCCGGTCCAAATCGTTAACCTTGCTTGTCTCTCCGCTGGACATGATGGGGCTCATGGGCATGGCGCAGGTGATTGCTACAATTGCATACGGCATCCGGGGCCTACGGAGAGGAGAAACGACATGGAGATGGCCAGACTTTGACCCTGACCCAGTTCAAGAGAATCTCGCACAGCTAAGCCGATGGTCACTGAATTCGGCACCAACCTGGGAGTTCCCTCCCCTTGCAATCGCCAACCAATACTACGATCAGCAAGCTGACGAAGTGAAGCGAGCAAGATACCGTCTGATATTGGTGCGAGGGTCAGACCTTCGATGGCTAAACAGGGAGAGCTTCCAAGAAGTTAAAGCAGGCTTACGAACTCAACACAAGTGGCTCCCCGAGCAAGATCTCCCTTTCTCTGAAGTTGTCCTATATGCCTACGCTGCTGATCGCACACCCTTTCCCACCTACGTGTGCCTACCCTCAGGACTGTACAAAGCACGCACCGGGCACATAGTAGCACAGACGGGCCCAGACCAGGAGATCCTGTCCCTGCCTGGCATATACTTCTTTGATGGATGGCGATTACACCCGAAGTTGCCAATCCCAGACCACTTGCCACGCGCAAAAGAGGCGCCAGTCCAAGGTACCGCTCTCAATGCACCTGCACCTGATACGGAACCCAAACGGTCGCCAGAAGAAGAGGCGAGAGACATCCTTGCAGTAGCTGCCAAGAACCAGCCCAAAGATGGGCCAAACACAAGAAGAGCAGCTGTCCGCGCATGCAAGTACTTAAGAGCCATGGTCAGCCAATATGAGACCACCATCCAAGCCGTGCATAGTGCCGCCCGCACCCACACGCAAAAAAGCAAAGGCACGGTAGGACCTGCAGTTGACTATCGCCCGCAAGGAGAAGCCCTTCCAGTCATCTCAGCAGACCTAACCTCCGAATTATTGCATTGTCTATCCACGCTCCCAGACCCATGGCCCCTGGCTAAGATCACCATAGACATGGAGAAACCGAGCCAGTGGGTCTCAAAGTTGTGCAGACTTTACTTTGCTGACGAGTATGCCAAGCGAACAGTTGGATTGCCCTCACGTAGGCATGTCCCGGACATCGCGGGTGCACTACGAGCAGTTCAAGCCATCCTCCCTAAACTCGAAGTCAAAATGATTGAGTTCTTAGCTGAATGGATGGTAACTCTTCTAATGCCAGCCTCGCACGTATTGGAAGTGAGGGCACCTCACCTTTCCTTTATGATGCTCAAGGAATACTGGTTTAGAGAACTGTACCTAGGCCTGAAAGTCACAGCATCCTTCGACCGCTCTGAATCATACACCAGAGTGATCGATGGTCAG